GGTTGAGCACCCCAGGCTCAGTCTCCAAAACCACAAAAACAAAACAAAATACGTCACCAATAATCACATCAAACACAAATCATCAACCCCCCAGGTAAGAGGCGGAACTTGTCACATGGGCATCTAGCTGTATTCCACCAGAAAGAAACAGCCTAAAGACACAAGTTAGACAAGAGTTTACATATGGAAGATGATACAGCATACAGACAATTTTTAAAAGTCTGGATGGCTAAATTAACATAAGGAAGATTTCATAATCAAGAATTCTCAGGGATTGTTAATCCATAATAATAAAGGAGTCAATTCATAAAGAGGACATAAAATTCCAAATTTTTATACATCAAATAAATATAACAACAAATATATGAAGTAGACACTGATACAACTGCAAGGAAAATCAACAAATACACAATTTTCATTTCAATACTCATTCTCATCAATCGATTTTAAAAAAAAGACATAAAAATCAGTAGGTACATAACAGGATTGACCAACAGTATGAAGCACATTGACTTAATCAGTATTCAGAAGAGTAAAATGCACATTCTTGACTAGTGCTCACAAATATTTACTAGGAAAGACCAAACTCTGCTGCATAAAACAAACTAGAAATGAAAGCGAACACCCTCACACTGATGAAACGCAGCTACCTAAAAAGCACAGCCAACCGGGGCCTAATGGGAGCGCCTGAGAGTCTCCCCCAGGCCAGGCGCCAGGGGGCTGCCAGTCCCACCACCTCTGCTGAGCTTTGTCCTGGAGGTCATTAGGAGACAGCCAGGTCAGAAAGAAAGAACTGAGGCTGCCTTCATCTGCAGTGACATGACAGAATATGCAGAGAATTACACAGAAATTTTTAAAATTAAAAAAATCTACTACGACTAATAAGTTGGTTTAGAAAGAATGTTGTAGAAGAGTTGGTCAACTGTACTGCACAGAAGAACAAAGACTTCTTGAAGAAGTACAAAGTAAGTACACAAACATCAATTGTATTTGTATATACTGACAGCACATATTGAAAATGAAAATTTAAAAAATCTATGATAACATCAGAAATAGGGAACACTCAGGGTAAGTCGAACAAAAGATGTATAAGACCAGTGGACTGAAATCTTTAGGACAGTGATGAAAAATTTAAGAAGTTATCAACAAAAGAAGATATTTTCCATTCCAATCAAAATGTCACCAGTATTTTGTAGAAATTGACAAAGCTGGGAAAGCCTGGTTTCAAGACTTACTATGAAGCTGCAGGAATCAAAACAGGGTGGCATTGACATAAAGACTGGCAAACAGATCAATGAAAAGAAAGAGTCTGGAAGTGAAGTGCACACATCCAAGGACAAATGACTTCTGACCCCATAACAAGGACATTCGGTAGAGAAAAGAAGGTTTGCATTAACAAATGGTGCTGAAAAATAGCAGAGATGTGTGGAGGAAAAAACATTTTTAAAAAACCACCTTAGACTGTACAGAAAAATCAAACTCAAAATAGAACATAGATCGAAATATGAAATCCAAAATTATGAGAGTTTCCAGAAGAAATCAGGAAATCTTTGAACTCTTGGACTAAGAAACTTTTTTT